TAGGTTTCTTTTTGGTAAGTGTAAAACACGTAAATACACCAGTTTGATTGTCGTTGCTTTAGTTGTGAGGGAAATGGGATTACCCCTAGAAAATCCATTTCACTGTCAGGCGCCAAGTCTTCTACTCTTCAAATTAGTACGCGAGAGGTTGTAGATGTAGCTGAAAAGATATAAAAGACAGGAAAAAAAACAGATTAGAGTTACAAGAAGACTCGTGATAGTGTATTGTTGTGTGGTTAAGATCGGGGTAATGGTGTACCATTTATTGTGAAACATGTTGTATGGAGAAACGTATTTTTGCCAGAAGGCGGGTGTTACTGTAATGTTAGGGAATTGAATGATAAGCGAGTTTAAAGTTTTAGCTTTCTTGTAAAACTTGGTAGCTAGTTTCTTAAATCGGACTTTGACTCAGAGGATTTTCGGATTTTCTCAACATAGGAGGCTGGAGTGTAGAGTGGGAGGTGGAAAGTGAGTCGCATTGTTCACGCTTGGAGTAACTGTAATTGTTGGTATGTACGTTCGTGCATGTTATATTTAGCATAGAACCGCACTCATAGCATTATTAACATTAGTTAGCAAAATATTGTTTTCTGATTCATGCAGTCACCTCATGCGCAATACGAGTGTCCCTAGTTTACACCACACATAAGTGCCCCTTTTCTGGCCATGTCCATGAATGGAATAGCAGTATTTTCTCGTTGGGCACTTTACTGTATAGCTTTGCTTTCTCGAATGCAAAGTCTTTATCTCACAATAAGTTCTATACTTTGGACAGATATATATGTACACTCAGAGAAATTAAAAATGCACCAATTTGGTGCTTTGTATTTTTTATTTGAAAACAAATTGATCCGAATTATGGTATTAGGTTTCTCTGTTGAGTTAAACAATGAACTGAAACAGGCAATGTTTTCAGCTACGCTTCAGTGGTTTTGGTGAGCCAAATTAAGTGTTCAAATCTGCTGTTTGTCCATTGTTCACACATGAGCCAATACAACCATCCCAATGACCACACCTCAAAATGGTGTGACCCATGTTGTTAAAATGGCACTGAAAAACAAATGCAATTCACAGCATTCATGATTCCACAACTGAATCAGTCCCCAAGAGATGGGGCCGTTGGTATGCTTCAAGCTGATCAGAGCATCAGAGCAGTATCCAGTGTACTGAATGTCAACCATTCGACGATTGAGCGTTATGACGATACTGGAAGTTCAGCAGACCGCCCAAGACCACGAAGACCTTGGGTGACTAACCAGTGTCAAGACCGACGGATTCGACTAATTCATCTGTGCAACCGATTCCAGCCCTCTATCCAGATAGCTGTTACTACCACTTGGAGACAAAACAGACCCATGGGTGTCAGAACCGTCCACAACCATCTGCGACATGTAGGAATTCAACCTTACCATCCTTGCACAGGTGCGGTCCTTACCATCCATCACCAAGAGAACTAAGTCCAATGGTACCACACTGCTCCATGTGTACAGCAAGTGAACAGATGGGAAGATTTTAGCATAATGGTATGGATCGATATCTCTGCCAGTCACCGAGTAGAACTTCAATTTATTGAGAGGAATTTGGATTATCAGAGATATCGGGATGAAATTCTTCATCCAGTAGATCTGCCTTTTCTGTATCAAGTTGGGTCTGTTTAGGTTTTTCAGCAAGACAATGCTAGACCACACGTGGCTCGTATCTGTACTGAGTTTCTGGAGAACAATAAGGTTAATGTCCTTTCCTGGACAGGAAAGAGCCCGAATTTCAGTCCCATGGAAAATCTCTGGGATTTACTCAGTAGGCGTTTACGTCAGCGTCCACACCATCCAGAAATGCACCAGCAACTCAGAGCAGCACTGACAGAAGAGTTATACCACTATATCAAATCAGATAATTCTGTCGATCCATGAGGTGACACATAACAGCTGTAATTATCGTGAATGGAGAACACACACACGCTATTAAATAAGAACTGAATTTGGTTGAAAATCATTCTCTACTGGTTCAGTTATTCAGGCAATTGTGGTAAATGGAGATGATTCAAAATGTTTTGTTATTGCATTACTGTTTGAAGAATATGTCAAATAAACAATAAATGTATGATTTATTTATTCTTATTTATGAAGCAAATTTGACAAATAATGCTTAAATATGAGGTGGTGAATTTTTATTTTTTATTGAGTGTAATTACAATTTTTTTTTCGACACCTAATAACCATTTTTAAAATAAAATTAATTGTATATGTAACTATTGGTTGTTGGTTTGCCTAGTATTAGGTGGACGTGCTACGTACAGTGAGTTAATTAGATTTGATGGTGAGAGGTACTTAAAATCAATATCTACCATGTATGATAATGTTTTCTAGTGTGCTTAATAAAGGTTTTTATTTAAATTGTATCTAAAATATTGTTTTAGTTTATCTAGAATTGATCTATCTAGAAATCTGTCTGACAACATAGGGATGTTTGCTTAATTGTGTAATAATGTTGTGTTTGTGGTTCTGGGAACTTTGTATGATTTAGTAATTATTGTGTTTTGATCTGTTTGTAGTTTTGTGTGACTTTGCTATATCTAACCATGCTGGGCAGACATAGTCTGCCTCTGGATGAATATACGTTTCATATATTTTAAACATATATTCTGTTGTTGAGTTCTTGATGTTACCAGTCAGACGTCGGGCATAGTTGGCTCTTTGCCATGTTTTATTTCTAATTTAATTTACATACATAACAAACGTATTGAAATAACATTTCGAAACAACCTCTACCAGTACTGCATTAATGGATATGTGCAAAAAAAGCACGAAATTTACATGAAATGGCTTGTGGAAATGAAATTCGAAATTGGACTGAAGTTGAAAACACGGAACAGAACATCATATCAGATTAATGACAAACGATATGGCAACATTTGAAGAAGCTATAATATCGATAAAAAGGGAGCTAGGCATATCCTGTAAGGCAATAAAGAAGCGATTAGAAGGATTACAGTCTTTTTGTGTTATAACACAGCATACTTTCGTAATTTTGGCAACAGTTCTTGGGAAGATGATATTTTTATATAGTAAGTAAGCAGTACAAAATACATAATTACCTTATATATTATCAGTGGGCACAAAATTGCAAATGTCGTACTTTTAAACTTTTATAGACAGAACTACATCGTCTTTGATACGTGTTTTTCAATACGTTAGATATATTATTATATGTACGTCATAAATAAATTTTATGTATAAAATAGTGATATAAATACTACCTATTTATGTTAGTTTCATACTTTAGACGATTATTTATTGCACCAGATGAACTTGAGAGAAATGTCGTTTTATGATACACTTGAGTGAGCTTAGGGTTATAAAGCTTTGTGTAGGAGGAGTTTTGAGGTAGCCATTGTATTTAAGAGTATTCTGAATCTAAAAAAAAAATTAGAAATAGAGTGAAAAAAACAAACAAACTAGAAATTAAGTTGTAGGCTTTTTTGTTGTTGTTTATCGCTGATACTTAATGTGTCTGTATGATTTAATTATTAGGCAATAGAGTTTGTGTGTGTTTCATAACAAAGCCACATCGGGCTATCTGCTGTATCCACCGAGGGGAATCGAATCACTAATTCTAGCGTTGAAAACCTGAAGACTTACCACTGTCCCACCGAGGGACGGCAATAGAGTTACTGACCAGGTTAAAGTAAAGTTCGAAATGTGAAGTTATTTGGTCATCTGTGATTATTTTACACCCGGACAGCAGGCGGAAAATAGGATTACTCTGTTATACAACAAGTTTGATATATTGTTTATTAAATATCATCAAATAAAACATTGTTTTACTTAGAAACTAGATGTCTAATTGAAAAAGAGTTACGCAAAATGGTAACGGTAATATTATTTATTTTAAAATTACGATTTTTTATATTGTAAAAAAAAATCACAATTTACTGAAGTATTTTTAAGAATATTTGTTGGCCCAGGTTTACACGCAAAATATCTATTTCCAAAAAATATCTCAAAACATCTCTTGAGTTTGTCGTTTGACTGTATCATCCGTATTAACATGAGAATCTGTTGGCTATTGCCTAATGGTTAACTTGTCTGGATTAAGATTATAGAATAAAATAAACTATGTATTTTAGAGCATATGTAAAAGTGTTGAATGTAGAAAACGTTGTTTGCTTCGTGTGTAACTTGAGAGGCTAACATTCTTCACTAATTTAGTTGTTAATCTCTTTTCTCCACCAAAACGTGAATTTCAGTGAAAGAAAGATGGCGTAGAGGCCTAATTTATTTATTGGTTCGATGTCACATATTATTTAAACACCTAAAGTATTTTAGATTATTTATTAGTGGTGAGTAAAAGACTAGAAACCAAGTAACATTAGTATAAATGAAAAAAAAAAACGACGAAAATAAATTAGTAAAACATATTTTAATACGAATTCATCTTTCTTACAACTTTCCGTCCTTGTTACTTAGATAATCGTCAGGTTCTCTAATTCAACTACGTTTATTCAGTACAAGAACATTCTAATCGCGAGATACAATGAGATGAGCATATACTATTAATATACACTTAGTAACAATATCAAGTTGAATAAGAACAAAGAATTCTGTAAATGGTAAAACTGGTATTCACTGAAACAGATTAAAATTACAGAATAAGAGCTATCCATTTTATTTTATAGCATGTACAACAATGGTATACAAAGTTAAGGTATAGACAATTACTGAGTTAAAACAAATACAGCCCGAAAGAAGATCGGGTGTAGTCCAGTGAAGGTTGATGTGTTTAATGCATAGTTTCTTTTATCAATAGTTATGTCTGTTATTTAGCTATTGTTAAGAATATGAAGTTTGACGGAGAGAAAGACTGCATGTAATGTAATTTCACTGTGTTGACATATTGCACTGTACCAGTTTTACCGATCCTTCTATGTGTTCATAAGCTTTAAGATGATGTTTGATTTTGCCAAAGTAGGAGGTCTTATAGATATATGAGTCATGACCAATGAGGAGTTAGTAATTTGTATTTACCAGAGAAAAAGGCTTTCAGACGGAAATGGGTTTGAAGTTTGTTTTCAGATAAACTTTTGAGAAATATATTTTCGTCTTTTATATAATACACGTGTGTGTGTGTGTATGTGCTACTGGTAATATGGCTGTGTTTACAGAAGTAAATAAGGCTTTAGAAGCAGTGGTGTTTGGTATTATTAAAGAAATTTCCGAGATAATTTTTATATAATGTTTTAAGAGTAGACACTGCAGTTAAGAATATTTTGTATAAAAGAAATTTCGGAATGGTGTGAAAAAAAAAAGTAGACCATAGATTGTAGGCTCTGATAAGCAGGCATGATACTAAATTATGTTTCTAAGACAGCGGAATAAAACTATTAAAGAGGCCAGTGAATATTTCTTTATATTATTTTATGGTAAATAAAAGTAGAAAAGCAAGTGGACTCGTGGATAATAAGTACGTTTAAAATGGCATTGTTGTTAGATTCTATTTCCCATGTAAATTTAATGGAAGAGTGGCGTTCGTTAAGAGAAATACATGCTCGATTCCTGTATTTGATTTCAGTCTCTCTCGTGCCTTATAATCCTACATAAGTGAGAATTTGAAGAGATAAATAAACGACTTCGGGAGCTATTAGAGGTGGTTCATTAGTGCACTGTTATTGTCAGCGTGAGCGTATTTATCTAGTTTTAAGTCCACACATTGCAAACCAATGTAATGAAGTCTTCTGTCTTTTGTTCTCTGAGAATTATGATGCGTCTATATTTGTGTCAACATAAACAAAATTTTCACTTGTATTTTACAACATCCAACTGTTGATTAGGCAATAGAGTTACCGAGCAAGTAAAAGTAAAGTCCGAAATGTGAAGTTATTTGGTCATCTGTGATTATTTTACACCCGGACAGCAGACAAAAAATAGAATTTCCCTGTTATAAAACAAATTTAATATATTTGCTTATAAAATATCATCAAATAAAACATTACTTGTTTTAATTATAAACCAGATATTCAGTATAAAAAAAATGTTTAGCCAAACAGCAGCCTGTAATTTCAAAACTATACGTGTTGCATTTGTTATCATGAGAATTGGTCAGGTGTTAACTAGTGATTAGCGCGCCTGGATTTTAATTCAGAGGATTCACAGTTCGCGATTCGTTGCCGCAGAAACGAGCTCTGCACTTTGGAACAGCTATGCCACATACCTCTTGTGTAGCTTTACATGAAACTCTGAAATAAACGAACAGTATAATCTAAATTTTGGCAGTACATACTTACAAAAACATATTGTTGCTTACATTTACAAACAAGATATATTCTTAACGAAAACTTACTTGTCAAAGCTCTGATATCTTCTTCAAGTTAAACTAGTTATCAAAACTATACTCTGAAGATATAAAGGAATGGATTAAATTACTTGAAATGAAAAAAATAATTAAGGGGAGAAACTATCGT